GCTTCTGCTGCTGCTGCTGCTGCTGCTGCTGCTGCTGCTGCATGCAAAAGCAAGAAGAAACAGCAGCAATACAACGAACTGCAGCAACAGAAACGAAAAGGAGAGGAGACAGAATGCAGCAGCAACAGCAACACCAACAGAACCACCAACGCAACCAGCAGCAGCAGCAGCAGCAGCAGCAGCACTAGCAGCAAGAGTTATAGAACGGCAGCAACTGTCAGAGCAGCAACAGCAGCAACAGCAGCAGCAGCAACAGCAGCACGAGGGTATTTGTTTGTTTACCTTTTGTTTAATATCTTTTTCTTTTTGTTTTTCTTTTTGTTTTATTTCTGCTGCTTCTTTTATTTGCATTTTAATTAAATTTGCTGCTTTCCCTCGAAATTTATTTTGCTGCGCCGCAAACCACAAAGCTGCTTCTCTCACCTCTGCTGCTGCTGCTGCTGCTGCTGCTGCTGCTGCTGCTGCTGCTGCTCGTGCTGGTGGTGGTGGTGGTGGTTTGGTTGCTTCTTTTGGATCTGCTGCTGCTGCTGCTGCTGCTGCTGCTGCAGGGTCTGCTGCTGCTGCTGCTGCTGCTGCTGTAGGCTGTTGGATGGAGCGGAGCCCCAAAGCTGCAGCAGCAACAGCAGCAGCAGCAGATTTAGTTTTTGCTGCTGTTGCTGCATCTGCTGCTGCTGCATCTGCTGCTGCTGCTGCTGCTTCTGCTGCTGCCTTGCTTAGGATGTTGGCGTTGTCTTTCAGGGCTGCTGCACGTATTTCTGCATGCATATTTGGTGCTGCAGGGTTTGCTGCTGCTGCTGCTGCTGCTGCTGCTGCTCTATCTGCTGCTGCAGCTGCTCTATCTGCTGCTGCTGTTGCTGCTGCTGCTGCTGCTCTTTTGTTTGCTGCAGCAGCAGCAGCAGCAGCAGACTTTCCCCACAAGCTGCGCCATATGCTGCGGAAGTCGATGCATGCATAAGGTAGCGGCTGCCTTGCTGCTGCTGCTGCTGCTGCTGCTGCTGCTGCTGCAGCAGCAGCAGGAGCAGCAGGAGGAGGGTTTCTGCTGCTAGGAGATATAATAAGAGCTGATGCTGCTGCTGGTGTTGTGTTGAGAGGTAAAATAAAAAAGAAAATAAATAAAAAAATAAAAAAAATAAATAAAAAGAAAGAAGACAGCGCACGAGAACGAGCTGTATATACACCCCAAATACACGGAGAGCAGCAAACGCCAGAAACCCTCATCCCCTTCATTGCTTGCAACATAAACCCTAAACCCTAAACCCTAAACCCTAAACCCTAAACCCTCGGGGGGAGATTGCCTGTGGTGGGTGAGACACCCAGAAGAACCCCCAGCAAGCATCTACTCTGCAACACATAAACCCTAAGCCCTAAACCCTAAACCCTAAACCCTAAACCCTAATTCTGCATGTATTGAACAAAGGGTTTACAAACCCTAAACCCTAAACCCTAAACCCTAAACCCTTGGGGTTTGTCTGGGGGGCCCCTCTCAGCAGAGACAACGGAGGGCCCCTCAACACAAGGAGGAAAGAAACAGAATAAAACACATCCTTTCTTATAAACCCTAAACCCTAAACCCTAAACCCTAAACCCTAAACCCTAAACCCTAAACCCTAAACCCTAA